TTACAAATTATGAAAAATATATTGACCAAAAGGTGAAAAATGACAGTTTATTGATTATTAAATATGAATTCAATATTCATTATTTGGAAGGATTTCTGAGGGTTTTTTCCTGGATGGGGGTTTTTAACAGCAGAAAAATAAAAACCTCCTCTTCGCTCTCCCTGGGCAATGTTCTCCCCATTCCAGAGAGCCTGCACCAAACTCAGCCTAGAAAGGGTATCTCATGTGCATTCTCTGCTGCGGGGTGAATTTCACCCACTGTGTACAGGGAAATAATCCTAGTTGGTGAAATGCTTTAACTAGATGGCGCTGTTGACCTGAGACTCAGTGAGATTTTGGGGCTCCAAAGAACTGAAATATTGTACGTTTCATCATTTGTACTACGGTTTATATACTGGAGACCAAAAATACCAAATCCTTTATGAACTGAGCCTCTAGTTTTCACCCTCTGAGTCTTCAAATGTTAAAACTGATCATCCCAGATTCCTTGTGGGTTCCTAGTTAGGATTCCCAGCTGGTTAGGTCAGTGGGGACTGGTTAGGTAGAAGGTCAGAAAAGCTTCCTTTCTTGAATCTCTTTATAATGAGTCTAAATGCTATCTGCTGCTTCTGCAAGCAGATGGAGCAAAAAGAGTAGTGGGGCCTGGGTGGAGGGATGTGGATGGAGGGACTGTTGGCTCCACAGCACTTCTCCTTTTACCTCACTGATGATATTTATGTAGGGAACAATGTCATTAACAAACTTGTAGATCCTGTGTTGCTGCAGAGGTCCAGCAATTCAGTCAGATGAATAATTCACTATAGAACTGCTTGGTACAGACATCCTGTGCCTTAAAATCTCATTAAATGCTCTGTTTATATTATTGCATTATAGTTTGTTATTGACGGTGCTGGTTTTAAATGCCACTAAAATGTCAGATGGTTAAAAATGTCAAAGGGAAAGTTGCACAAAGCAGATCATTGCCTAAAGCTAATATGAAAATAGCGTATTTATCCATGTTGAAAGGTACTTTCTGCCCTGGGAACCAACTCATGAAGGTAGATTAAATTGAAGTAAATGAAATGGGTGTGCCAAATTCAGCTCTGATGTAAGCAGGTGTAATGCCCATTGACATCAGTGGCAGTGGAATTTATTCCAGAGCTGAATTCATTTCAGGGATCTGCCAACTTTTAAGAATGGCTAAGGGTCCTGATTCTCAGTTACAGTAAAGCCCCTTTATACCACTCTGGCAGTGTAAAGGGACTCATAGTAGGCAGTGCAAATTACACTTGTACTCACATAAGGCTTTTGACATTGTCAGCGTGCACAAGAATTCTCTAAGAATTCAATCCTGCTCAAGATGTGCCAGTGACTTCAGTGGAAGCAGGATCAATCTCCTTTAAATTACAAACTCAACTCTTACTACTGAAGTTCAACCTTCTGGAAGTCCACTATGTGATCCCACTATGTCAATCTTAATAACCTGGGAGGTGATGAATACTATGATGAATCTCTATGCCAGTGCAAAATCCTTCAATAGATCAACTCAGATGATAGCACTAATCAAAGCCTGATAACTACAGACAGGTGAAAAGGTCTAAGATCGTATGGGGATGAAGGCCACGTAAGTACCTATATAACCATGTGAAGCTTTGGGAAAATGATGTGTTCAAGACATTCCCTTCAGTTATCTTTTTTTCTCCCTTGCCCCTCTGTCTTTCTACCTACAGGTATCTTTCTTTTGGTTGTGGTAACCTCAATTTCCCTCATAAGCACTGTGTGTCCAATTAAGCTCCAAGTACCGAATTAACAAAATGACCCACTATTTCTGTCCCACAACAGATTCAGTTCTCACTGTTCACTTCTCTGAAGTTTACATTTATCCAGATTTCCTTAAAACACTTGGCTGTTATTAAACAAAGAAGACTACAAGGAAGGTAGAGTGCAAAACAACTCAGACAACTCAGGTCAGCTCAGCCTCGAAGACTGGGTGACAAGTTCCAGGAGTAACGTTTACCTTTTGATGCTCTAGTGTTATCAACAGTCATTTCTATGATTGCTTAGCCCATGCTAGATCTTAAGGAGACCTACAATGGTGTTTTTTGTTGGTTTTTTTTTACTAGGCAGCACAAACTGCATTTAGTCAGGGAACTAGAGTCAGGGAGAACTTACATGGTCTTGTCTATATCCATCAGCCTCCTGAAAGAATCTCCTTTACCTTAATTACACAGGAACCCTACAGATACAAGGCACTTATATCCATATCAGCATGGTAGTCACATGGGAATGTAGCTCACGGGTATAAACTGGGAAAATTAACCATTCAGCTTCAGGATTAAAATACTCTACATAATATTAACATATATCTAACAAAAAATTCAGCAATTGATTTTAGGATCAATATTAAAAAATTCAAGAAAGCAGTCTGGTCATCTAGATCTGTTGTGCTGGTATTTATCAACCACTGGTTTGTAGGATTATTTTTTTAAGTCTTTTCACAACTTCTTGCTTTCAGAGCAACTTTTTAAAATACAACTTATTACTTTATGCTTCTTTTTTGGAGTAGTTCAGTTTCCTCTCACTCCTCGCTCTTATAGTTCACATTCATAAGGCTCTGAACTTCATCAGCTTTTGCCTAACCTGTCTTCCAATAGGAGTTCATCATGCCCAGTGCATGTTCTTTATAGCTCTGGGTCTTAGTCTCCCATTATGACACTGTATTATACTTTAATAAAATCAGTTATGTCAAAGAAAATTATAGAAACTGGCCTGAGTTGAGCTCCTTACTTCAAATTCGATTCAATTCGTGTCCATAACTAAGGATGAGCCAAAGAGGACATGTGTAAAGGGAAACACTCTGGCATTGCTTCTTGATGATCACAATAGTATTATATATTTTTATTGCATTATATTTACTCTCCTTTGCAAAGCACTGTGAGATCTATGGACAAAAAGCGCTATATACCACCAAAGTTGTTTTAGTATTTGTCTATTTTATTTTGTTGATATCTTTATTATGCCTTAAAATTTGGCTTGCTTAGGTATATGACTTATACCTTTGTTCCCTGTGACTTTATCCTGTGTCAGTTTCTACCTACCCCTCTACCTCACTGGAGTGATGTGAGACTTAATTCATTAATGTATGTAAAGCACTTTGAAAACCTTGGAAGGAAGGTGCCACAGAAGTGCTCATTTTAAAATGAGATAGTCTATAGTGACGTGTTCCAATAGAAAAGGCCAGTTCTCTGACTTTTAAATTCATGGATGTAAAGCACTTTGAGATGTTTGGATGGACAATGCTATAGAAGCATAAAGCTGTATTATAAATATTTACACACAAGCTCATGGAAACCAATGCACCACCAGCCACCATGTCCTTTAATTTAATTTCCCACTATTTTCTATTTGGTAAAATAAGCTGGAGGGATCCCTCAAGTATTTAATGGGCTGCTTTATGCATTTATAGATGGGTTTGACTGCAGCTAAAAATGTCCATGACATACAATAGGTTGTTTCTAGCTGGATTTTAAAAGAAAATAACTTTGATCATTTCAAAAGCAATGAAGCCTGATGCTCCAGTGAGAAAGGAAGGCGGTAATTTATGGCTACCATTAAGGAAACAAAGACAAAGACCGAGGGAAAGTTTCACTAAGTGAAGATTTACAAATGTGTATAAAACACCCTTACAACTAGAAATAGCCTGGTATTTCTCCCAGAACAAAACAAAAGGGAAGAGGAGGGGGAAGAAGGGGATACAGCCTGCCCACCTGGCTTCACTGGGCACAAAAAGGTCAAAAGAAGAACTTTTTTTTTTTAAAGTTATTTTACCAACTAACATGGTCACTTTGCCTGCAGAGGAAACCAGCTGTGTGAAGAACAGTCACAGTAATATCTGGCTTAGGAAAAAGGGTTACGGATCTGTGGTAGCCTTGGTAGGATCTGTGGATGACAGGGACTCTGCCTCTGTATATTGCACAGGGTTGAGCATAGTCAGCACTTAAATAAGAATAATTAACAAAATAGTTGTGAGGGTATATATGTAGGGGGTGGGGGTGTTCACGTGCAGTGCTTCTGTATACATGTGTAAGTTGTAAGTAAATTAATGGGTACAGAGTGTGCATGCACTGCACATGTCAGATGTTTGCATGGGTATGACTACATTAGAAAAGAAATCACTTTTTGGGCCTTTCAGAAAATGAATGTGACACAGTTTCTCTCTATCTACGTGTGCAGTTGAAACATTTTCAGTGCCAGTTTAGCTACACCTATTGCTTTGACACCCATTGTCAAGCCCTATACGTGTGTGAGTAGTGTTTGTGTATGCCTGCAAGGAATGCCTGTGTGTGTGTATGGGGTATTGTGCTGATGTTTGAATACACGTGCTGTGGGTGTTGTGTATAAGTGTAGGGCCTGCTAGGATGCTGGTGTGTGGTTGACTATGTGCATTGGCGGGTGTTTTCTATAGGTGGTGGTGTTTGTATGTGGGAATATTTGTAGATACGCAGAGGTGTTTCTGAGGCAGAGTATTTGTGTATGAGGAGGGCTTTTATCTATAGCTGTAGAGGGTGTGTGTGTGTGTGTGTGTGTGTGTGTGTGTAAGTAAGTAAGTAAGTAAGTAAGTAAGTGTTGTTTGGCCTTGCCTGTGTATGTTTGCAGGTGTTTCTGGGGTGGGGTATTGGTGTGGGGGATATCTGCAGGTGGGGGGCAGTTGTGTATATGTAAGAGGATGTGGGTGAGAGAGAGACACACCCCTGTAGGCAGAGCGCTGGGAGGGAGGCAATGCAGGCTCCTCTCTCAGGGTGCCTGGCTGTGGAGTGGCCCATGAGAGCAATGGGGGGGAGACCCCGAGGCCAGGCCCCCTGCGCCCCCTCCCCGCCGCCCCCTGCCCACGCCGCGCGGCAGCAGGAGCGGGGCGCGAGGCGGCTGTCAGTGCCAGGCAGGCTGGGCGCCCGCCGCCACCTCCCCCCCACTCCTCCTCCTCCTCCTGCGGGACGCGCCAGGCCCCGGCGGCCGCGCGATCGATGGGGTCCGGCCACCGCTGCTCCGCCGGGGCGGCGCTGCTGCCGCTGCTGCTGCTCCTCCTCCAGGGACAGGTCCACGCCGCCGGGCTGCTCCTGCCCGGTGAGTGACCCAGCCCAGGGTCCGGGTTAGTTCCCTGTGTTGCCGAGCCCCGCTATTGCAGCCCGGCTGCCCTGCGCCGGCCGGGGCGTCTGATGCTGAGAGCAGACGGTTCCCGCTGCATCCAGACCTGGACAGCGGCTTTCGCTCTTTGCCTCGCCCCCCAAAACCGGTTTCTGGCCCGGCCTGAGACTGCCAACACTTGCGCGCCTGCTTAGCTTTACTCCCCTGGGGGGTAAATGAGTGAGACTTACAGGGGTGAGGGAAGTTAAGGCTCAGGCTCCCACGCTGCCAGTGCTCAGCCCCTGTGAAGATCAGGGCACTGTTGGAGGGGTTTGTTTCTTAATATGGGCTTTGATCCATTACTTTAAGCCTGTGTGGAGTAGTCCCATTGACTTCAGTAAGGCCGCTCACATGTCTAAAGTTACACTTGTTGCAATGCGGTTGTAGTCCTGTGAGTCCCAGGATATTGGAGAGACAAGGTGGGTGAAATGCTATCTTTCATTGGACCAACTTCTGTTATCGTCCTTGGGAATTTAGTGCACTGGATTAGGTATAGCAGATTGTGATGGCCATGTGTAGGATCCATAGATCCTGAAAGGTGTGTTGGGGTGGGAGTGTTTGTTCAATAAAAGATATTATCTCCTCACCCACCTTGTCTCTCTAAAGTTACATTTGCTCTTTCTGTGCTTTGCTGCTATTCTTTTTAGAAATGGGCTTGAACCGACCTCCAGCTCTAAAACATCCTTGGAAGATGGGGAGAGTTCAGAAATGGAACTGAACTTCACAATTATTATTTTTATCTGTATTGGTTTCAATTGGGAAAAACATAGTTTTTGTTTTATTTTTAAAAAAAATCTCTCATTTCTGAACAGGGTGCTGGACAAATCCTAGATGAATACAGTATTTACATAGCACCAGAGAGGTGACTGGTACTTTTCAAACATATGAGATTATTAAATGAAAAATAATGTATCTGAATTAAAACGTGCAAACTTTGTGGACTGTTAGGTTGCTTTAGTTGGCTTGTAATATGGGCAGTAGTAAATATTTCTGTGACTGAACTTTTATTATGATGGTGGTGATTATTTTAAAGTTTTGTTTCCCCACTAGGAATCCTTCAAATAACAACATTAATATAAAAGAAACAAAACAGATGTTTAGTGTTTTTTAAAAAATCTAGAAGTAAAAGGTTGATGTAGCACAGTCTAAACCATGTTCTATTAAATGTGGAATAAACCTAATAATTCTTCATGCATCTTCCTCCTCCGCAGCAGTTTCACTGCCAAGTTTAAGCCTGCAGCATTTGCTCTTAGTTTCCTTCCCCAGAGCCTCTCTTTCCAGCTCAGACTACCTTCAGTAGGAGCAGAAATCTCACCCAATGTGTATAGTAACTTTAAATCAACTTTCATTCTGCTGTATACACTAATGCTGCCTTTTCACTTCCATTCTTCATATGCATCCTGGAGATCAAAGGAATTAATAATAACAATAAACCCCCCTAAAAACCTGAACCAGCCACTATGTACAAGGCGCAGTATCTGTTTGACATTTATGCATTTTAGTTTTAAGAGAAAAACACTCTTGAGTGTGTCCTCTCTGTGACAGTGCTTTCCATGGACAGGTACATCTAAAAACACCGTAGTGTGCAGACAGATACATGGACAAGGAGAGTGGGAATAGTTACTTTGAGATAATGCATGAGCTTAATTTCTACACATTTAAGGTTTGTTGACAGCTGATCTCCTCCATCCCATACCAGTTTTCTCTCTCAGTGCTATACATCCAAATCTAATTGAAGGTCTTCTGGTAATTCCTCTCACCTCCAGAACCTTCTTTGCTGACCACTCCCAGACTCAAAAACTCCCCTTATAATAGTTTTCGTTATCCTGTCCCAAGATCCCACCTTCTGCTAATCTCGCCACCTCAGCATTGGTCTTCCCCTCATTTCCTGATGATCTTGATCAGAGGTATTTGTAGGGTGTCCATCACTATTATCTAGATCAAAGATTTGCAATCTGTGTTCAATGGGCCACTGAGGTTCAGCAGAGTATTTGATCATGGTCTGTTGAGCCGGTTGGTAATTTGATGCTGGCCTAGTGTCTTGTTCCCTGCTGCTAAACTGCTTTAAAAGAAGCTGAAACCATATTAATATTCTTCCTCATAAGCAATTACTCTAGTTATTATGGGCTGTTAGGTAATATGTGGAAGGAGAAGGTGAACAGTGTGACTCATGGGACACCTTCTCTTCCATTCATAATCTCTCTGTTACAATGTGGTCCACATTGGGGGGGAAGGACAAGGAGGGGGAAAGCGTGGGCACTTATGATATAGCCACCAAATACTGTATTAAGACTCCAGGAGGACCTCCACTTCTACTGATTTGTCTTCAGTCTCAGATCCTTCCCATCTACGACTTCCTTTCCTACAGAACTGCCCTTTCCTCTGATCTCCTTTCCCTGGACCATCCATGGGACCTCATTCTGTTTGTGCTGATTTGCATCCTTTTTCTGCTGCCCTAGAAACTCCTGTTCTGATGATGTCTTCCCCTCCCTGTCACTCTTCTTTGATGGCCATCTACAGCTCATTCATATCCAGGAATTCCTCTTTTGCTGATCTTTCTCATTCCTCACTCCCCCCTGCCCTGAAGTTTCTAGCTGGATGTTTTAGCTATGTACACTATGTGCTTCTTGAAAGGTGACTGCCTGCTGTGTGTTTCAGCAATGTTGCTCACCAGATGTGACTTTCCCTTTTTATTTAAAAAAACCAATTTGGGAGCAATAAAAACACTTGAATAACCATCTGTTTAATGGTAAATAAAAGTTTGACATGTCTGGGGCTGTGATTTTGAAACTCTTGGCTGAGTGAGTGTTCATTTTTTGTGAGACCTTTTTGTTAGTTTAAAGAATGTCATGCTTCCTAAGAGTGACGTCACAGGTTTGAAATATGAGTTTTTTCAGTAACTGGTTGTTTGGGGCTCTATAGATTAATTCTGTCTCTGTGTGTGTCTGATTCTTAGCTCCATACAGAGACACAGGGCCGTATTTTCTGCTGCTGTTAATCAGTTAATAAATGATCTGGAGAAAGGGGTAAAAAGTGAGGTGGCAAAGTTTGCAGATGATACTAAACTGCTCAAGATAGTTAGGACCAAGCAGACTGTGAAGAACTTCAAAAAGATCTCACAAAACTAAGTGATTGGGCAACAAAATGGCAAATGAAATTTAATGTGGATAAATGTAAAGTAATGCACATTGGAAAAAAACAACCCCAACTATACATACAATATGTTGGGGGCTAATTTAGCTACGACAAATCAGGAAAAAGATCTTGGAGTCATCGTGGATAGTTCTCTGAAGACGTCCACGCAGTGTCAGAGGTGGTCAAAAAAGCAAAGAGGATGTTAGGAATCATTAAAAAGGGGATACAGAATAAGACGGAGAATATATTATTGCCCTTATATAAATTGATGGTACGCCCACATCTTGAATACTGCGTACAGATGTGGTCTCCTCATCTCAAAAAAAGATATACTGGCACTAGAAAAGGTTCAGAGAAGGGCAACTAAAATGATTAGGGGTTTGGAATGGGTCTCATATGAGGAGAGATTAAAGAGGCTAAGACTTTTCAGCTTGGAAAAGAGGAGACTAAGGGGGGATATGATAGAGGTATATAAAATCATGAGTGATGTGAAGAAAGTAGATAAGGAAAAGTTATTTACTTATTCCCATAATACAAGAACTCGGGGCCACCAAATGAAATTAACGGGCAGCAGGTTTAAAACAAATAAAAGGAAGTTCTTCACACAGCGCACAGTCAACCTGTGGAACTCCTTGCCTGAGGAGGCTGTGAAGGCTAGGACTATAACAGTGTTTAAAAGAGAACTGGATAAATTCGTGGAGGTTAAGTCCATTAATGGCTATTAGCCAGGATGGGTAAGGAATGGTGTCCCTAGCCTCTGTTTGTCAGAGGGTGGAGATGGATGGCAGGAGAGAGATCACTTGATCATTACCTGTTAGGTTCACTCCCTCTGGGGCACTTGGCATTGTCCACTGTCGGTAGACAGGATACTGGGCTAGATGGACCTTTGGTCTGACCCAGTACGGCCGTTCTTATGTTCTTATGTTATGTTCTTATGTAGTATAACTCCATGGAGTTACACTGATTTACATCACCTGAAGATCTGGCCCATAATGTATAAATGCTGATACTCGTACAAATGTATGCATATACATAATCATGCAAGCATATGCTAACACGCACACATATAACCATCATGCAAGCATGTCTCGTGTGTGTCTCTTTCTTGTACATGCATGTGCGTGCACATAGACACACATGACCATTCAGCAACCAACCAAACATTCTCATGTTGCACCTTCTGACCTCTCTCATGAATTTGTTTTTTTACAGATGTGGATGAGTGTGCCCAAGGGACTGATGACTGTCATCCAGATGCTATTTGTCAAAACATTCCAAAGCTGTACAAGTGCACATGCAAACTGGGTTACAGTGGTGAAGGGAAAATGTGTGAAGGTAAATTAACTGCAGTAATACACACTGCTTTAGCCGTAGTGTGTGTGTGCCAGACACAGTCCTATCGCCATTTGCTGATTAACTCATAGTTAGGAGTGCAAAAGGGATTCATGGGAACATTTGTGACAAGCTGTTGACTCCTTATGTCATATATGTAGCCCAGGAAACTGATATATTTCAAACTTAATTATATATTTGTGTGTTTTTAAAAAAACACAATCTTAAAAAGACAACAAATGGAGCCACTACTTCTGTCCAGCTCCTTAGATTTACTTTAGATATAGATTTATGGTAGGTACCCTTTTGAGAAGCCCTGGCTTGGAAGAGGAGAGAATGTGCCTTATTTCTACTGTGAATTTGTCTAGCTTCAATTTCTAGCCATTGAATCTTGTTGTAACTTTGTCTGCTAGTGTGAAGAGCCCTCAATTTCAAAATTGCTGTTCTGCACATAGGTACATACATACTGTGATCAAGTCACCCCTTAACCTTTACTTTGTTACACTCAAAGAGTTCAATCTATTCAGTTTATCACTATAGACTCATAAGGCATATTTTCCAATCCTTTAGTCATTCTCCTGACTCTTTTCTGAACCCTTTCTAATTTATCAACATCCTTTTGGACTTGTGGACACAGTATTCCAATAGCAGTTGTAGCAGTGCCAAATACAGAGGTAATATAACCTTCCTACTTAGGGTGACTAGGTGTTTGGTTTTCGACCGGAACACCTGGTCGAAAAGGGATCCTAGAGGCTCCAGTCAGCACTGCTGACCAGGCCGTTGACTGTCCGCTTGGGGCCTCCGCGCAGTGGGGTTGGCAGGCTCCCTGCTAGCCTCTGTGGTGCGCGGCTCCTGGGAAGCAGCTGGCATGTCCCCCTTCCGGCTTCTACATGTAGGGGCAACCAGGGGGCTCCAAGCGCTGTCCCTGCCCCAGGCACCACCCCTGCAGCTCCCATTGGCCGGGAAGCATGGCCAATGGAAGCTGCGGGTCAATGCCCGCAGAAGGGTCAGCGCCTGCAGACAGGGCAGCATGCAGAGCCGCCTGGCCACGTCTCTGCATAGGAGCCAGAAGGCAGACATGCTGGTTGCTTCTGGGAGCCGCTTGAGCTAAGCGCTGCCCGGAGCCCGCACCCCTGATCCCCTCCCGGGCCCCGGGCCCCAGCCCCCTGCCCCAGCCCCAGCCCTGATCTGCCTCCCACCCCCTGAGCCCCTCAATCCCAGCCCGGAGCTCCCTCTCATACTCCAAACCCCTCATCCCTGGCCCCACCCCAGAGCCCTCACACTCCCCTGCACCTCAACCCCCTGCCCCAGTCCAGAGCCCCCTCCTGCACCCCAAATCCCTCATCCCTGCCCTACACCCCCAGCCAGAGCCCGCACCTCTTCTGCACTCCAACCCCCTGCCCCAGCCCGGAGCCCCCTCCCACACCCTGAACCCCTCATTTCTGGCCCCACCCCAGAACCCAACCCCCAGCCCGGAGCCCATACCTCCTCCCACACACCAACCCCCTGCCTCAGCCCAGAGTCCCCTCCCATACTCCAAACCCCTCATCCCTGGCCCCACCCCAGAGCCTGCAGGTGCACCCCCAGCCAGAGCCCTCACTCCCTCTCACACCCCCACTCCCTGAGCCAGCCAGGTGAAAATAAGCGAGTGAGTGAGGGTGGGGAGAGCGAGTGACAGAGGGAGGGGGGTTGGAGTGAGCGGGGGCGGGGCCTCAAAGAAGGGGTGGGATATGGGAGGGGAAGGGGTGGGGCAGGAGGTGGGGCAGAGGTCTTCGGTTTTGTGCGAGTAGAAAGTTGGCAATCCTATTCCTACTTGAGATTTTCTTGGTCATACATCCAAGGATTGAATTAACCCTTTTGGCCACAGCGTCACACTGGGAGCTTGTGTTCAGCTGATTAGCCACCCTGACCCCCAAAATACTTTTTTGGAGTTACTGCTTCCCAAGATAGAGTCTCCCATTGTGTAAGCATGGTCTGCATTCTTTGTTCCTAGATGTAGAAGTTCCACCCGGTAAATTTCAAGGTGCTTACCCATAAAAGCAGGCTGGCCATTGACAATATGTGGGAACAAATATAGCATTGATTCATTTAAAAGAAGTATTAGTTTCTTGCAGTTAGGGCTGAAGGTTTGTGCCTCAGGCTGAGTTGAGGCTGGTTTCAGCAATGCACGTGTAAGTTTGAAACTGGGGCAAAATCATGCTTGTATGAACAATACCACAGAGCTATTAAAGTTCTCATGAAAAAATGGGTTTGACCAAGTCTGGGCACAGTAGGGGCCTGATCCAGCTCTGCTTAAGTCAGTATAACTCTTTCCATTTTCTTCTATGGTAGCTGGATTGGGTCCATAAAAAGCAGAAACTTTAGTACTTGCTGTATTTCTTTGCTTCTTCAGTTCTATTTATCATATTTCTAAAAAGGGAAACAGTGATAAGAAGCCTAGCTTCAAAGCAGGGAGTCACTTACATTACAGTCCTATGCACGAGGGCCTTAGAAACATAGGAACTGCCAAACTGGATGAAACCAGTGGTCCATCTAATCCAGTATCCTACTTCTGACAGTTGCCACACCAACTGCTTCAGGGGAAGGGGAAAGAAAGCTTGTAATAGACAGAGTTATTTTTTTGAATCCTGCTTGGTCCTAATTATGTATTGTGGCAAGGAGTTCCACAGGCCAATTGCATGTTGTATGAAAATATATTTCTTTGTATTCATTTTGAATTTCATTGAGTATCCCCTTGCTCTTTTATTCTGAGACAGGGTGAATAGAAGTTCACAGACTTCTTTTCTATCCCAATTGTTATTTTATATACCTTTTATCATATCACTTTGTATTCATCTCCTCTTTAAGGCAAACACAATCCAACTTTTCAATTTCTCTTTATATGTGGGTTTTTCCATATCCCTACTCATTCTTGTCATCTGGCTCTGAACCCACTCTGTTTCTGTTATAGCCCTTTTCAGATGGCATGTCCAGAACTGACCACAGTATTCCAGGTGAAGGCATACTATTAATTTAGAGAATGTCATTATAATATTTGCTCTGTTATCTGTCCTATTACCAGCCAGCAATATATTGGCAGCATAGCAATGATAACTAGGATGGAGCACAACATTTTAAAAAGTTACATGAAAAATTTCAACATCATTTTCTGTTTCACACATTTTCACCCATTTTTCATTTTCTGTTTTTGAAAAATTTCATCATTTTTTATTTAAAATATTTATGAAAATGTTATCAGAATGGTTAGTGAAATTTTGCATGTACTAAGAAACCAGGTTTTTGATAAACAAAAAAAACTCTCTAACCGTACTGATGGTTTTGATTAAAATTTTAATTAAAAATGTTGCAAAAAATATTGACTTTTTCTCACTGTTTTGGGCTTTGCAGTGGGTGAAATCCTGGCTTCCTTGAAGGCAACTGCAAAACTCCCATTGACATTAGTGGAGCCAGGATTGTACACAACAGTTTTTGTTTTTTTGGGGGGGGGAAAAAAGAACACACCCACCCACCCTGTCTCCATGACAAATTCATCCCAAGAGGGCACATGTACCTACTGAGTTATTAAGGTATTTTTATAATGAGCAGCTTCTTTAAAACATAGGCAGTGAAACATTTGGGGCTAAGTCTTCTGGGAGGCTGGGAAATCTTAACTCCGGTTTAAGTTCTTAGTGCCTCTCAGAAAGTACAGAATGTGTTTTAGGATTGGGCTTTAGGACCCTAAAATGAAAAAAGCCAACCTGGGCCCCTCAGATGACACAAGAGTGGCAGAGTGCACTTGCTATGGCTAAGGCCAAATTTTTCACCTAAAATTAGTCACCTATATCTATATTTGAGCATGTACTAATAAGTGTCCTGATTCCCAAAGACTTCAGTGTGCACTGTAGATGGTCAGTACCTTGGAAAATCAGGCTACTGATTTAGGTATGTAAATGTGGATTTAGGGGGCCTTTGTTAGGGATCCATGTTTGAAAAATTGCACCTTAATATTTTGGGGTAACCCCTACCATAGATGAAGCTCTAGTGGCTAGAGCGCAGGACTGTGAGTCAGGAGACCTGGGTTCTGTTCTTGGATTTGCCACTAACTTACTGTTTGACCTTGGGCTGGGAAGTGTCTATACATTAAAGTTATACTATACCAGTATAGTTAAAGTGGTACAGCCCCTTAGTGTAAACACAATTATACAGTATCAGCATAAAGGTGCTTTATACTGGTATGGCTATTCCCTTACAGGGGTTGTACAGGTATAACTGTTATGGTAAAAAAACAAAACAAATGAACACAAAACAACCCTCCCCAAACCCCACCCCTCACCGTAATAGGTGCACTGGTACAAAAACTGTATGTAGACCAGACCTAAATCATTTAGGAGCATGAGTGTTGTGGTCCAAAGTCACTGCATTGCTTTTGAAAATCTCACCCTTAGAAATCCTTAGGTGAAAATAACTGTGTAAGCTCTCATAGTATTATTAATAGTGTAACAAGCATCATCAGATGTCTGGGAAAAGTAGAGATTGGTCGAAACCAAAAACCTGGATCCAGCCCGCCAAAGTTTCACGTTGGAGGGGATTTAGGAATTGAAGCCTGGATCTGAATTTAACACCAATTCTTTCTCTTTATGTTGGGTCAGACCAGAACCCTAGCATTAAACATACTGAACATTGGGGGATTCAAAATTTTTATCTGGATGTTGTGGCTTTGGCCCATCTTTAATATAAAAGCTCTATTTGAAACTTTTGTCTGACTATAAAGGGCTTTGGGTATTGTCCCTGTCTCTTTCCCTCAGTGCCCTAACCATGCTGGTAAAATTCTGCCCTGTGCAAACAGATGGGCAGAAGAAGACATAGGTACTACCTCAGAGTGTAAGTGGGATTTTGAAGATGTGCAGAGGCAAATTTCATCATATGAGCTGAGTCCCACATGTACCAATGTTGTTAGGAGTTTTGCTGTTGATTGAAATGGGAGCAAGATCATTTGTTAGTTTGTTTGTGTCTTTTAAATCAAAGCTCCTGGTGTGTGATTAGTTTATTTTGCTTAAGGAGTTTTATGCTAGAAATTGTTTTCTAGTACAAACATTAGGAAGATCAAGTCCTACATATTCAATTTCTTTATTTAGAGAGAAAAAAAAGTGTTGGTCATTTATCATTTCATTTGAAGTATCAAAAAGACAAAGGTAATTTAGGACCAATGTTTATATTGGGTGTTAACAGATTTTAGAAAATATGTTAAATAGAAAGAATCGTATGAAAATGTTTTTTAAATAAAAGCTGTTTATTTGGATTTAAACATTCCCTTGCAGTATTTGCAACCTAATCATTGCAGTTTTATGCTAGTGCTTGAGAATCAGAAGCTAAATTGACTCATGCATTTTAATAATCAAAACTGAGTCAAATGCAAAGTGAACAGACAACTTGAAATGGTAAATTAGATAGTTAAAATTCTTTCCATTGTAATAATGAGGGTATTGTGATGAATGCAGGTAAGGAAATTTGTCATTTTAAAAAAAATATGTAGTTTGATTCTTCCCTCAAATTGATTCTGTCAGTGTGACTTCACTGACTTCAATGGATTTAATCCTGATTTACATCAGCATATAAGAGAGGAGAATCAGATCCATGATTTTTAATCTAACATCTTTTTTAATAAGCAGCTTTAGAAAGCTTAAAACTATACTATAACACTGAATGAGAATCCTAATGCATCTTGTCATCTTTCAGAAACATTGAACAAATAATGTGCTAAGTATAGTCTATTTGCAAGACAATGATGATTTAAGAGAGCAATTACTGTTCACATTTATACAATCATGTCAGGACCTGTCTATGCCAAACCAGGAAGCATCCATCAGATTGACTTTTGCTTTATCCCTCAGACATTGATGAATGTGATAACGACTTCAATGGAGGCTGCGTACATGAATGTTTCAACATTCCAGGCAATTATCGCTGTACTTGTTATGATGGCTTCATGTTGGCTCACGATGGCCATAATTGTCTCGGTAAGGAACATGCTTGCTAACATTGCAAATATTGATGCTAATATATCCTTTTTTAATTTTGTGAAAGTAAAAAGCCTGTGATTCTTGGATGCTGTGTTAGATAAGATGTCTAGACAAGAATGATACATATTAGACAAAGGAATTCCAGGTTTCTACATTTCAGTCTCTGTGTGACTGCTCTGTGGCTCAGTTTCCCCATCTGTAAAATGGGGGATAATACTGACACATTTTTCTTAAGTGTTTTGAGTTCTTTGGATTAAAAATTGCAAAGTATCCTTCATTATTCTGTTAACGTGTTTCTTTAGGGAAACTTTAGTAAATTGACCTGTTTAATACTAGGAACATTTCCCATTTTTTTGGAAATGTTAATTTATGGTCCAAGCCCAGCCATGTGTTGGGGTTGGGAGAAAGGAATCCTTTCTCCAGATAATGGAGTAGCTATGCCTCCCATTTATGTATCTTATGTGGGCCACATTTCTGTACTACCTGAGCAGCTCACAATCTCCAGTGTATTTGTCCTCACAATACTTGTGTGAGGTAGGGCAGTCCTATTGACTCCATCTTACGTTGGGGAACCAAAGTATAGGAAAGATAAGTGACTTGCTCAAGGTTATCAGGGAAGTCTGTGGTGAAGCAGGGAATTAAGCCCAATTTTTCCTGAGTCCCAACCATTGCATCCCCCTTCTGCTCTCCGGGTTTGGGCGGTACCTCTGGCTCCTGCTTGCTGCTACATGGTGGGCAATGATTGGTGGAACCGTGTAGTGAGTCTCCCTCAGACTAATGTGTGGACCCCTGTGTACCCCCTACAAATGCTGCTCATCACCGCCTGAGCAGTGGGGCCATCACTGGGTATGTTACCTTAGGAGATTTCCACTCCTGTTGTGGAGGGGATTTGTCCCCTATTGCAGAATTTGAAGACTATTGTGAGCCATGCAAGAGTGATGAGATATTTCAGATTAGCACGCAGTATTTTAGTAATGGGACCAGGCCTCTATTAAATATTTAGGGCAAGATCCTCACCTGGTGTAATTTGGCATAGCTGCTTTGTCTTCATTGGAACTACATCAGTTTACATCAGCTGAGGGTGTGGCCCATAGACAAAGTCCTGTCTGTTGGTGTGTAAATGGGAGAGGGTGGGGAAGGCACTAAGTCCCAAGGGTTGCACTATTCTGCCAAAGCTGGGTAGCCATATAGTCTGGGCAGAAGCAACTGAACTATTTATTGATGCTTTTTAATATTAGGAAGAGTGTCTTATCCTCTCTCACACTTATTTAAACATACAAGTGAAGTTCCAGGAGGTTCACATTAAGGACACTCAACTGGGTGAGCACCTGGCCTCTTTAATAAGGCAATAAAGGGGTATATTCTCTCTCCATACAAAGAACTCCTCTAGCACACGAATACATCTGGTCATATTCTGATCTCAGTAACTTCACTGGCGATACCTTGAATTTACACAGCTGTAACTGAAGCCAGAAACTGGCCCACTGTTGTGTTAATATAGGGTTTCTCATTATTGCTAGACTGTTTTGAAAAGAACAGCAGTATTGATGCAATGGTTCTTGGGGTGGAGGGAGCACATAAAGGGTAAAATGGACTTTAAAACAATGAAGTTCAAATCACAGACCTCCTAATTTTGAGTGTCCCTTTGAAGATATGATTTAAAATTAAAATAGATATTTTGACATGCAGCAAATTTGGCTTAATTTTCTGTTAAACTGTTTACTTACTTAGTTCATGCCACTTTTTTGTTAACCAAGCCACATCCGTATTCCTGAAGACATGATATGTGTGCCTGGATTTTAGCTGAATAGACAATTACTTTTTGGAGAGAGAAGATAATATTCCATTATTTTGCCATGGTCCACGAAGCAGAAACATTTTCTGGAGTTTCAAATCCACAGTACTAGAGAGTCTTGGTGGTTGTTTCAATATTGATTCCTTAGATTCAGATCACTATCGAACTACTAAAATTAACAGTTTCTATTAAGACTGAGACATCTAGACCGCTTGGAACATAATTTTTATCTTTGTTCTTTTCTATGATCATGATGCTGTGCTAAATCCATCTTGGTTTAGGTACTCAGGTTGCCCAACTGGTTTCAAGGGGACTTAAATCTATCACAGTGTTTGATTTCACTTGTTGGTAAGAACACAATGGCTTCTTCCTGTTTTTAGGCACTATTTTATGCAAAAATGTTAAATACTAGTTTAAAAATCTTAGCCCTAGTACTGTAACAGTGAGCAGAGTGGGAAGCAAACATGATGCACCAATTGCGGTTGCATAGGTGCAAATGAGAGCAGAATTTTGCCATGACACTTTTATGGCCTGTTTTCCTGGGTGTTGAGCATCCATAACTCTCACTGAAATCAATGGGAGCTGTAGGTGCCCAGTCCTTCTGAAAATCAGGCCTGTAAGGTTTATACCATAGCAAGAGGCTACAGAAAGCTTAAATCCGTGATGGGTAAAATTCAAAAGGCTTGGAGGTTGAGATGAGCACTTCAATGTTCAAGGACTTAGCTGGAGTTTTTCTACTCTTCGTATCTCTTGGTTCTGCCAAACTAGATAGATATTTGCAAGAACAGACTTTCTCCTGAGGTTCCTGTCTCTGGTGAGGCCATAAATATTACAAGATCAGCATTCCTTCAACTATTTCAGTAACTTCTGCTTCTGTCCCTGGCCACAGGAAATACAGAAGCAGCCACAAAATAAGAGACAATGAGGTGGAATAGGGAGGTGGAGGATAATTAATCAGACGTTCTCAAGCTTCAGAAAAGACCTAGCATTTGGCTTGCAGTTTGGGTGAAGGTTCGGTGTGGTGATGCAAATTTTATCCAAATTGGGTTACCCGTCTCTCGCTTGAACCTGAGCCTGAGGTTTTTTGATAATTTTCTCTTCCTCCATCTCTGCCTCAGAATTAAAATCTTCTTTAAATGCCCTGATCTATAGACCCATTGGGACTTTGGTAAAACAAACATCTATTTAATCTATACTAGCTGCACACTTTGAGATCAACCTCCGGGCATTGATTTATAGCAGTGACAGTAAATGCAGCTGTCCAGGTACAAACCCAGTCTCTTTATTTTTCAGATACGGATGAATGTATGTTCAACAACGGTGGTTGCCAGCACCTGTGTGTCAATACCATGGGGAGCTATGAGTGTCGTTGTAAGGCAGGGTTCTTCCTGAGTGACAACCAGCACACGTGCATTCACCATTCCGAAGGTACTGGTCCTTCCCTTCCAAACAGTGAGCAGAAACTTCTCGTGGGAGCACATAGCAGACTCTTAAGCATTTTCACAAACATTTAGAGTTTTCTTCAACAAGAGAAGAGGTTCATTGTTTGCCTGCCCCCGAGGGTATGTCTACACTGCAACAAGACACCTGTGGCTGGCCCTGGTCAGCTGATGGGCTCACGGGGGTTGGACTGTGGGGCTATAAAATTGCAGTGTAGATGTTCGGGCTGGAGCCTGGGCTCTGGCCCCTCCTACTTTGTGGGAACTCTTCTATCAACCTAGTTACCACCTCTTGGGGAGGTGGATTACCTACACCAATGAAAGAACTGCTCCTGTCAGTATAAGTAGTGTCTACACTGAAGCGCTACAGCGGCACAGCTGTGCCACTGTAGCATTTTAAGTGTAGACATACCCTGAGTACTCTTGTCTTCAGGGGGACTCTGCAGACCGCCCTCATGCTGTCCATTGTAGGATCAGAGCCTGGAACACTGTCAAACGAGATAACTTTGCCGTGGGAGAGAGGGTCCTTTTTCCTTTGTATTTCCTCACCAAGATGAACATATATTTGGATAAAGAACAGGAGTACTTTTGGCACTTTAGAGACTAACAAATTTATTAGAGCATAAGCTTTTGTGGGCTACAACCCACTTCTTCGGATGCATATAGAGTGAAACATATATTGAGGAGATATATATACACACATACAGAGAGCATGAACAGGTGGGAGTTGTCTTACCAACTCTGAGAGGCCAATTAAGTAAGAGAAAAAAAATTTTTGAAGTGATAATCAAGATAGCTCAGTACAGACAGTTTGATAAGAAGCAAGTGTGAAAATACTTACAAAGGGAGATAGATTCAATGTTTGTAATGGTTCAGCCATTCCCAGTCCTTATTTAATCCTGAGTTGATTGTGTCTAGTTTGCATATCAATTCCAGCTCAGCAGTCTCTCGTTGGAGTCTGTTTTTGAAGTGGACACATATCTATTCAAGTGACATCATCATAGGGCCTAATCACATCAGCCATACCATCAGGGGCTCGTTCACCTGCACATCTACCAATGTGATATATGCCATCATGTGCCAGCAGTGCCCCTCTGCCATGTACATTGGCCAAACCGGACAGTCTCTATGCAAAAGAATTAATGGACACAAATCTGACATCAGGAATCATAATACTCAAAAACCAGTGGGAGAACACTTTAACCTGTCTGGCCATTCTATGACAGACCTGCGGGTGGCTATCTTAAAACAGAAAAACTTCAAAAACAGACTCCAACGAGAGACTGCTGAGATGGAATTGATATGCAAACTAAATCTTGGATTATCTGCTTCCTGGAATCCATCCTTTCTCATCTGCTGTGCGCCACATTGTCTGGCTCAGGACTATGAGCTGGGACACTGCAGGAGTTTTTAGAGAAGAGGCAATAGTCAGGTGTGATAGTTACTTACTGTAGCGGGGTGGATCCAGAGCAGAGTGGTGCTCCAGATGGTTCTCTGGCTCTGTTTAAGCCTTGCGTAGGTCAGCTGGGCTCAGAACCTCCCACTGAGTTGTGCACAATCATAAGTTTTCCTTGACTACGTGCCCTGGATTTATTCCTCTTCAGCTGTAAGTGACAGAACAAATGCTTTGTGAGGACATTGCATCAGTAATAGCGATAAATCACTTACCTACCTATGGCTTTTCTCTTTGTTGTTTAATTTACTTCATAATATTGAGTTAGCAAATTCCAGGGGAATGTCATGCACGTGGGGTTTTTACCATAGAAATAAGCGTTGTGACCATGATGTGTCCTTTTACTACCATTTCTAGTGATAATCCATCTCCACTCAGTAATCCATCACAGTCCATCGCAGTATGTCACACAAACCACAATTATTTACTTCTTTTGGGCCAAAATCAATGGGCGTGAATAAGAGCTGCAGGATTTGGCTCATTAGGGTTAGATTTAAAGCCATGCCACCTGAAGGCTGGTGTACAAAGGCACTGCACCAGCAGTAGTTCCTGGAGACGTTTTACCTGTGGAGACCTAGGCAGCCAGAATGTCTCTGGGAGTGGGAAATGCTGCTCCCTTTAACAGGGTAAAGCATGCACACTACACAGGACCAGCCCCATTCTCCACTTGGTGGGAAGGGATGCAGCACTCTCGGGATGTCTAGCTGTGCTAATGGTGCTGACATTCCCCTAGCTTGTGTTCAAGAAGGGCCAGTACCAAGATTCTGGTTGCTGTTTGTACAGGGACATCCTTTCCTCACACCTCCTTGTGCGCCTGCATCAGGGCCGGTGCAACCATTTAGGCAAACTAGGCGGCCGCCTAGGGCGCCTAGTGGTTGGGGGCGCCTAAAAGGCCGCTCAGGCGAGGAGGTGGAGTGGAGGTGAGCTGGGGCATGGGGAGGGCTGCCCGCAGTAATGGGGAGGCGCACAGGGGAACCGCTCCTCGCCCCAGATCACCTCCACTCTGCCTCCTCCGCTGAGCACACAGCCCCCGCTCTAAATCTTCTCCAATCGGCGGCGCAAGCCTGGGAGGGGAGGAGAATTAGAGCGGCACCGGCGTGCTCGGTGGAGGAGATGGAGCCAAGGTGAGTTGGGGTGGGCTCCCCAGGCGGGGTTAGCTGCCACGGGGGGGAGTCTCCCCAGGCGGGGTTAGCTGCCGCAGGGCGGGGGGGTCTCCCCGGGCGGGGTTAGCTTCCGTGGAGGTAGGGGGGAAGTCTCCCCAGGCGGGGTTAGCTGCTGTGGAGGCAGGCTCCCTGGGTGGGGGGCGGGGTTAGCTACCGCGGGGGGGGGGGGGTTGGGGGGGGGGGGGGGGGGGGGGCAAGGTGGAAGTTTCGCCTAGGGCGCGAAACTTCCTTGCACCGGCCCTGGCCTGCATAAGACTGTCCAGAATCTGAGCCTCAGTGTTGACAACAGAATGGCAATTATGGTGATGAATATGACCCAGCCTGAATACAGCACCTTCCCTCAGTGCTTAGCAGGGTTTGCTAACTGGGTGTACATTTGGCTGGACAAATACCATTCTGACTTATTCCCCACGCAGTTCCACTGATATGACTGCATAAAAATTGAATCACTTTGCTCATTCCCATATCAGGTAGTTACATTGACATTTATATTATATATATATTATGAAATATAAAATATTCATTGGAATTGATTTTTAAACTAACAGCCCTGCAAAATAATGTGACTGATTTATGGTAAATAAAATGTTAAAACATTTGGATGCACTTCTCCATAAAATATCCCCTTTTTTTTGGTCAACTAGATTTTAACTTTTTTGTCAAAGAAAGCACATTTAACTAATCAGACCCCGAGTATTTTATTATTAAAATGTGGTTCATTTTGTAAGGTCCATTTTAACTTTTGGTGGTGAAGTGACCGAATTCCACATGCACAGAACTGAGCAATTCCCAATTCAGCATTTAAACCATTTGTTCGAGTTCAGTGAACTTTACCAAAGTACCTGCTTTAACAGTTTCTCCTTCAGGAGATGCATGCACACAAAGAAATTACTTTGCTAACAGAAACTAATCCGTTAATTCTCTTAATGCTTTCTTAACACCTCTTAGATCATATTGCATGTTTAAGCTTAAAAATTTCACAAAAACACTAGAGTTAATAAGGCTAATTTGTGATCTTATGTGCTGCACAGATCCTTGATTGACACCATAATAGGGGATGATAGCTTTCATGTGGGGATCTTTGGGCTCTTTTGTATATTCTGTCGGATTTGAGGCATCATTGTCTTGTTAGGCTTCTACAGAGTTCTCACTGTGGGAAAGGAATCAAAAAGCCAATAGAGCAGAATAATCTAAGCAATGTAGCATCCATTCCTTTGTTACTTAAAGCTTTCTTAATAGAGGAAGAATATTGTAGCCTAAAACTGGGATGTCAAAAATATAATATGCAAAGTAATTGCCTGATTAAAATGTAACTGAATGTTTATGAAAGGTTGACCCCAGCTCCCACTACAAATATTTTTTCTTCATTTAATAATATTGCTTCAAAGAGAAGATATTTTGAAAATGCATGGGTTAAGGAAACCTTTGCCTATTTTCTTTTACACAATGAGGCTTGTCTCTGATTTTTTTTTTTTTTATTTTTATTATTCAGGACCTGATCCTGCTTCCACTGAAGTTAATGGGAGTTATTTCAGTGGGCGCAGGATTGGGACCCCAATAGGATTAGCCAGCAAGCCTAAATAAACTGACCAGAGTCCTCTTGAAGTGGTTATATTATCTAAGAAGAAAACAGAAATGGATGGTAGTGCAACTCCTTTCCTTAAAAATAAATAAATAAATAAAAAAATAAAAAACCCACTGTCTTAGCCTAGTTTATTGTAAAGCACACTCTCCTTGGGATGCACTGTCTGTTTTCCATTGGAGTAGCAGTCAGTCTTTCTCTGCTGCTTCCCAAATTTTAGCAATACAGGAGGTTTCAGTAAGGATCTAGAGTATTCTGCTCTACACTACTAAGCCATATGAGAGTTCATACTTTAAACCCCAACATTTCTGTAATATGGAAATTTGTGTTTTGTTTTGCAGTCACATTCCAGCCAAAAGTTGTGCTGTTGCAAGAGGTGTGTGTGTTTTGTCTATATTGTATCATGCTAGAACTTTTGCAGTGTTACGATATTTCTGTGCAGTGTGACACTCGTGATGGATTAGGCTGGAGACCAATAGTGATGTGTGGACATTTTGCAAGTCATGCCTAAAGATCTGTCAATGAGCTTCAGCCCTGATATCCAGGATTACTATTACAATAGGCAGCAACTGCTTGAGAACTACTTCACCATAACAGCTTTGCAATGTGAACAAATGTCTTCAAGGAGCCAAGTCCAGGCAGTGAATTCCTTACAGATGATGCCTAAGTCACATTTCTGTCGATCTATCTTAGGTACTTAAAAAGTCTCCATTACCATAGTGTCTGAGCCCCTCACAAGTTTTAATGTCTTTATTCTTAGAGCATGTCTACACTTACCTCCGGAGCAATTGATCCAGTGGGGGTCTATTTATCACTTCTAGTGAAGACGCGATAAATCGACCGCTGAGCGCTCTCCTGTCGACTCCGGTACTCCACTGAAATGAGAAGCGTAGGCGGAGTTGATGGGGGAGCATCAGCAGTCGACCTACCGCAGTGAAGACACCACGGTAAGTAGCTCTAAGTACGTCGACTTCAGCTATGCTATTTTCGTAGCTGAAGTTGCGTAACTTAGCCTGACTTAGCTTGCCCCCCCACAGTGTAGATCAGGCCTCACAACACCCCCTGAGGTAGGACCGTGCTATTATCTCCATTTTACAGCTGCGGAACCAAGACCCGGAGAGACTTGACAAAGGTTACACAGGAAGTGGAACAGGAAAATTGAACCCAGGTCTCCCAAGTCCCAAGGAAGTGCTCCGTCCTCCTCCCTAACATTCAGACTCTTCAAGGAGAGTTTGGATTTACCAACCATGATTCCATTCTGTCTCTTTGATATATTGTTGCCTTTTGGGGAGTACCTTGGTAATACTAGAAGCAGAGATGGTAATAGTGCACTGTTGCGTGCATGGTAAACTCCTTTTTATATTGTAAGATCCTTGGGGTAAGGACCCTGGTGGATCCTCATCCACCTCCCAACCCCCCTATTGCCCGGGTGGTGCTGCAGTAGCTATGGGAGCTACTTTATTGTATTGGCTGAGTTTGCAGTGTTGAGTACAGAGGCTGTAGCACCAGCTATGGAGGAAGGTTCAATGGGCCTTCCAGGACCCAGTGACTCTGCCTTGTGCAGAGCATTTGGCCCTTAGAAAACTAACGAGATTAAAGTCACAACCCCAGAGTAAAGCAAGCGTAAACCTGGCCTAAATTCCCACAGGGAGGCTCCCTGAGAGTTCTCGGATCCTCCGGTTGTTTAGAGCTACCCGAGTGGCTCCCTTCCCAGGTTGTGGTGAGCACAGCTCAGCCAGACCAGAGGATCTGCCCATAATCTTTTAAGAGACCTTATTTTTGTAAGTAATTCTAAAGGAATGGAGAACAAAAGAACAGAGCAGTTGCATGTTTTTACTGCTGGACTTTAGTGGTTAGGAAATCCCAGTGAGGGAACGAACCTTTGCATCAGAATGTCTGTGGGATACAATAGAACCTTTATGACACATAGAGTTAAAATAAACTTTGGCTCTTTAATGCTGGGAAGTAGGGTAAAGCCTTGCCAATGGCTGGGGCATGGATTTAGCTGAAACACTGGACAGAGGCAAAAGGTTTTATAATGCAGAGAACGTTTCCTTATTGTTTAATTGACTGCAGCCTATCTCTGGCAGAGGCCACATGAGTCACCGCAGCAGCCTGCAGATTAAGTGCTGGAGTGTGAACAGCTCATAACTGTCAGAGATAAAACAACAAGATGTTTTTATGAGGTACACCAAAGGGAAAAAAAAGTCAACTAATGTCACATTACTCTATTCATTTGGATCCAGACTGCATTTGCTTGTATACATTCTTTTCAGCTAGTGAGACACAGCACAGAGGTGCAGTTATATATAAAACATCATGATGACTTCCCAGAGGTGGTAAAATGTACTGGTTGAAATTAGAAAGAGGCCAGTAGATATCAGAAAAGGTTAAGATGCTCCCAAAACAGAAAATTCTTTGCTGCCCATGGGTACAAGTATGTGTGACTGCTGGGTCCGCTGCTAACCACTAATGGAAATGTGGCTCTGTGAATCTATGGCTCAAGGCCAGTAATTTGAAAAGTTGTGAGAAGTGTTTGAATTTTGTATGTATCTGAATGAATTTGGACATTCCCTTGCCTCACATCATCTCATTTTGCTATTTTATGGGAAGAGTAAAGGGGAAATGACAGCCTTAGTGCCTAGTCTTGCAAGGTACGGAGCAGTTCTCAATTCCTATTAAAATATGTGGGAGGAAGAGGAGGAGTTATTATTACTAATAAACATTTATATTATGATAGCACCCAAAGGCCTAAATGAGGGTTGGGGTCTCATTGTGCTGGGTGCTGTACAAACACAGAAACGGAAGGTCCCTGCCCCAGAGACCTTAAGACACAAACAGACAATGGATTAGGGGCAGAGAAATCGCCTTGCAGGCCATTTGCTTAGCCTTTAGCAGGATTAGGTTCTTTTTATTTCTTGTATATCAGCTGATACTTTTTTTCTCTTTTGTTCAGATACAGGAGATTCTTTCAAGAGGTACAAGTTGTCTGCTGTTTACTTACAGTTGGGCTAATGTTTGTATTTGAGCTGTTACCTGCATCTGAAGACACTGAGGATACTGATGATCTATGACAATTGTACTGTTTTGCAGATGGCATGAGCTGCATGAATAAAGACCATGGCTGTGCCCATATCTGCAGAGAAGCACCGAAAGGAGGAGTGGCATGTGAATGCAGACCTGGATTTGAACTGGCCAGGAACCAGAGGGACTGCATTTGTACGCAACAAATTCATACTGATCCTTAGAGGGAACAAATAGAATTCTATTATTTCTGCAGCTGATCACTAATTTGGGCAGTTGTATCTATGGATGTGCTAGGATGACGTTATTTAGACTGCACGTTTTTGATGAAGTGAAATATCAAATTAAATCAGTGGGTTTTCAAAATGTCATTGTACAAATCCATCAATTAGTATTGAAAGCTCTAGTTTGGGAGTCATGTTAATATTCACACACAAGAAGGGTAAATTCAGCCCTGTGCAGGGATCTGGAAATTTGAGGCTCTACTGTATGTTTTCTTTCCAGTGACGTGCAATCATGGGAATGGTGGGTGTCAGCATACATGTGAGGATGCTGATGATGGGCCCATTTGTGGATGTCACCCAAAGTACACAGTGCACTCGGATGGGAAAACCTGCCTTGGTCAGTAAGCAGTGGATGGATTCTTTTCTGTTGATGACTGATATGTAAATTAGTTTCAAAATGTTACCATTTCTGCAGGAGTAATACGTTCCAGTTATATTGCTGAAAAATTGCATAGAGGCCGAAACGACAAGATCTTTGAAAGCATAGGCCGGATCCATGGGTCTGGCCAACCCATGCTTGATGCAAGACCTGGATGTCAAGGAAAAGTGGTTCTAGGTCACATTTCTGCCCCCCCCCCCCCCGAAATTTGGATCCAGTTTGGCCCCTGGCATAACTTAGAGAAACTTTAGGGCTGCTTTAAGTGATGCCTGCAGGAAATCTCTTATGGAGCATTCCACTATCTGCGGAGCACCAGAGTGCTAGGAAAGGCCAGAAGAAGGTGGTGTAGAGCTGATTGTGTTGGCTTTACATCCCATGGAGCTTCCCCTATGTCAGTGGACTCTCCATCTGCTCCTTACAGGCTGCTTTCTGACTGTGTGAGAAGCACAGAAGAACTGGCCCAGAATGTTTAAGGGGAAAAAAATCTGTTTTTAAGTATATTTTGTTCTGGTACCTGTGAAGGATCACACATATTATTAACCAGGGGACAATTTCTTTCAATTTTCTTAAGTTTTCATAGAGTCCAGAAGGGACCTCTAGGATCATCTAGTCTGACTTCCTGTGTAACACAGGAAATTCAACAAGCAATTCCTGCATCAAACCCATAACGTTCGATTGAACTAAAGGATATCTGTTAGAAAGGCATCCATTCTTACGTAAAGAAATGCTTTGGTGGATGAACACAAATGCTTTGATGACCAATCTCTGACCATTGATTAAAAACAAAAACTCAGCAATAGTTAGCCATCTCTTTCATTAGTGAATGGGTGATCAGGATGGCAGGACACTGGTATGTAGCGTCTGATCTCTGATTAATCCTTTTGTTGTTCTGTTCACCACCGCTACTATGTTTTAAGCTTTCTGAGGTGAACACATGGGTCTTTGAAAAGCAAATTAAAACAAAACAACAAGAAAAGCTATCACATTTTTAATTGGGGAGTTTTAATGTTTTTGTTTTTAAGTGTTTATTTCTGACTGTTTCTGCTTATGATATTTGATTCAACTAATTGTAGAGTTTAGCTTTGTTTTAGAATTGGATTTCAAAAGGAGTGTCGTACAAGATAGTTGGCTGCTGCATTAGGTACCAACAGTTGCACCACCACTCTCTGATTCCCCCCCCCGCCCCCTGTACTTGCATTACAGAGAGAGAGGAGGCTGTAGCTGAGATCTCTGAGAGCAATGCCACAGCAGGAGCGGATGTGGACAAGCGAGTAAAGCGGCGGCTGATCATGGGTAAAAGTGCCTATCTTGTTCTGCTGTGGGGTTTCTTAACTAGTCTTACATGGTGAACCCTTACTGTATTGGATAGCTATCATCGAACATAGCTATTGTGACTATGGGCTGAAGTCTGCCCTTGGAGAGGCATGCATTACCCATTGAACTCAATGGATGCTCGCTCACCTCTAAGGAAAGGCTATGTCCCTATAGTATATAAGTAATCATGTATAGTATTCGGGATGTATAGAAGTATGAGCTGAACCAGAGCCAAGAAACCTGCTCTCTACCTACCCCCTAACTACTGAGTTGCCCAGTCTGACTATTCTGCTGTTCAGAGCTTGAATATAAAACTCATCAAACTCCTAGTCAGATGATTTCTTTTAGAGTCCGATTACATTCAAAACCTTTAAACTCTTTGGTACTGGCTGTTTTGATTGGCACAGAGGGATTTAAGGGACTGGCCCAAAGTCCCACTACAAGTTTGGAAACTGACCCTTGCTGGGTTTCGTGAGTCCTAGTCCAGTGCTTCAATGAGACTATCCTTCCTATCTCTGAGACATGCACTGTGAACATCCAGCTCCTGGTGGAAAGCAGGGTTCTAGTCTCTTTAGACGCTTCCCAGAATGTTAACCACTTTCATATCATTCTTCTTCTTCTCTACTCAGGCTCCCTGACCTTACAGCTCTAGCTAAGTTAGGGGACTCAGTCACCATAGAGTAAAATCGTAGTATGGACAGGACCTAGCTCTATCTCTGTATATGGGCTAAAGTCTGCGACTGTCCAATGGGAACATGGTTAGGTCCTATCTATATTACAGTCTTTAACCATGTTGTAAGTAGGTCACTAGACCACCAGTATTTTAACTGATTCCCTGAGGTAGATAGTTACAACAGTATAAATCTGGTGTATGGAAGATGAGAATCAGGCGCAGTATCCTCTAAACTTGTTTTCTCCCTTTAACAATAAGATGCACTATTTCTCCCTGTGTGTGTCTCTTTGTACTGAAGGGTTAAATGGCAGGGCCGCCTGGCGGGGGGCAAGTGGGGCAATTTGCCTCAGGCCCCGGGCCCCGCAGGGGCCCCCCGAGAATATAGTATTATATAGTATTGCAACTTTTTTTTAATGGAAGGGGCCCCCGAAATTGTTTTGCCCCAGGCCCCCTGAATCCTCTGGGTGGCCCTGTTAAATGGACTGTAAGGACAGGCTTGTTTGGAGTTGGAGTTCACCCTTGATTTTGTAGCTGATAGGGAGTTGGGGAGGGCAGCAAATTCCCACAGTACAACAAGAAATTTCCAATGCTTCACTTTTTTTCCTCTCCTAGGAAGTGCCACACATTAGTCTCTCTCCTGAAATGTTTCAGTATGTACTAAATTTAGTTGTATTCTATTTAATCCAAAGATGTATCCAGGGGACTGTGGAACAAGTCCCTGTGATCTCAGTGCGGTTCCGAGTGAACAGATATCTGTGTCACAAAAGCATCTCCACAGTTGGCACTGATCATATACTATTCCTGCTGTCAGTCTCATCAAAGCGCTGGAGGCAGAGGCGAAAGCTTTCAAAAATCGGAGACTAAAGTTAGGCTCCACAATCCATATTTAGGCCCCTAAATAAGCAGCCTGATTTTTAAAAGTATTGAGCTTCCAACAGTCCTGTTAAGATCAGTGGGAGATGAGAGAAGTTCATTCCCCACACCCATGTGGTGGAACTGGCTAGCAGAGGAGAAGGGCAGTCTCCACTGTTCTGTGCTAGCGAGCTTATTATTATTATTTATATTACCGGAGCACCTAGGAGCGAACCCCATTGTGATGTGTGCTACAAACCCAGAACAAAAAGATGTTCCCTGCCCAAAGAAATTACAATGTAAGTGTCAGACAAGAGGCAACAGATTGTTAGAGACAAACCAATGGTGGAATACAAGGAAACAATGAGATAATATGGCCAGTATGATTAGCAAATTAGCAATGGTCTCAGCATAACTGTTGTCATGTGGGTTTTTTTGTTTTTTGTTTGTAGGCATCACAGCAAAGGAGAGTTTTGAGGAGGGTTTTGAAGGTTGATGATGAGGTAGCTTTGTAGATGTTTATGGGGAGCTCCTCCCAACTGTCAAGGGCAGCATGGGGGAAAGCACAAAGGTGCTTGTCTGAAAATTCAAGTGGGCGATGGAGGCAGGAGTCGACTTTTCCATGCTGAATGAGAGATGAGGGGTAGGGTGGGGACAAGCTGATGGGCCTTGAAAGTGAAAACAAACAGCTTATGTTTGATATAATAGAGATGGGGGAGCCAATGGAGGGATGCAGAGAGGGGGGATGACGTGGTAAAAGCAATGAGCTAGGAAGATTATCTTTGCAGCAGCATTTTGAATGGATGCAAGCAGGGCAAGATTGCATTTGTCATGGCCAGAGGAAGGATGTTGCAGTAATTGAGACATGAGAAAATGAGAACTTGGAAGAGAGTTTTAGCTGTGTGAATGGATAGGAAAGACCATATTTTACAGATGTTCTGCAGGAAGAATTGGCAGGATTAGACATAGCCTGATGTCTTTGACCGGGACGTAGGTGGTCATGCTTAGTGGTTGGAGTAGGTCTAATGGTCAGAGAAGGAGTCACTCCTAGTGGTTAGAACAGGAGTCAGTAGCCAGGAATTGGAGCCCAGGTTGAGATCTGGAGCCAGGAGTCGGAGCCCAGGTGCCAGAAACCAGATGCCAGAGCCAAAAGGCAAATCCAAAGTCAGAGGTTAGGAATCAGAGCCAAGGATCAGAACTGAGTTACCTGGAGGGAGGCAAGGCTGCCCAGGAACTGTCTCTGCTGCAGGCCCTGCTTCCAGACTGACTGTGCTGCAAGCCTTGATTCCGGACAGTACTCCCTCCTTACAGGCGCCTCACAGGGACCTTGGGGCCTGGTTTCTCCGTACTTCTGATGGAACTCTCGTAATAGGTCCAGGGCATGGCTGTTCTTCGTTGCTTCCCAAGACTGCTTGTCCGGAGCATACCCTTCCCAGTCCACCAAGTACTGGGGCTTTCCTCTCACTTGCTGAGAGTCGAGGATCCAGTGGGCCAAGTACTTTCCTGTCTGTGGACTTTTGTGGGTGGTGGATTGAAACGGTTTGGATATGGGTTCTCGATATAGGGCTTTAAAAGTGAGATCTGAAAGACAGGATGGATCTTCAAGGACTTGGGCATCTATACAGTAATCCGAAGGCCACTGGCTTCACCCATTTTATAGTCTTGAAGGAGCTCGGGTATGGTAGTCTAGTTTGGCGGATGGGTGGCTTGATTTAAGTTTCTGGTCAAGAGCCACACTTTGTCCTCTATGGCCAGATTGTGGGCAGCCTGATGGTCTTGGTCTGCATGGTGTTTATGGGGTTCTTTGGCAGACTGCAGGTGTTCTTCAGCTCCCAGGTGCCGGAGCCAACCGTCAGAGCTGAACTCGGCCAAGAATTAGATCCGAGGGTCATAACTTGGTTACCTGGAGTGAGGTGAGGCAGGAGCAGGGCTGGGAACCAGCAGGCATAGGAACTATTGCGACCATTGAGCAGCCACTGATCTGCTGCTGGTCTTAAAAGTCAGTCTACTGACTCTTCCAATCAGTCAGGCCACGTAGCCAATCGGGCAGCCTATTACAGGCCAGCTGTGCTCATTTTGTTGGGCGATTGGCTCTGCTGCAGGCCCTGGTTGCTGACACCTAGATTTGTGAAAGTAAAGCAGAGTCAAAGATGACACCCAGGTTATGGGCCAGACTGACCGGCAGGATGGTGGTGTTCTCTACAGGGATTGAGAAAGAAGGCAGCAGAGAGAGCTTTGGGGAGCAGGAATAGGAATTCTTTATCAGCCGTGTTGATTTGAGCTGATGGTATCCGTGAGGAGATGTTGGAGAGACAGGCCAAGATTTTAATTTGGGCAGAAGGAGACAGGTTTGGAGCAGAAAGATAGCATAGAGATGGTAGCTTAATTTGTGTTTATGGATGAAATTTCCCAGAGATAAGATGTACAGGGAGAAGAGAAGGACAGAGCCTTGAGGAAGCCCCAGAGAAAGTTGGAAGTGGCTTGGGGAGGGATGGTGGTTGCCTATCCCCAGCCAGACGTCTTGCTAAAACTGGTACGTACATAAATTAGACAGACAGGAGGACAGACACAAGGAATGTAGATATTTTCTTCCCTCTTTAAATATACAATATAGTTGAATAGAAATGGAGTGGGCCACTACTAGCACCACATGCTACTTTATTTCCCTTACAACATTTCTGTACAAATGTTAGCGTTATTTTTTCTGTGTTAGAAACATGCGCTGTAAATAATGGTGGCTGCGACCGCACTTGCAAAGACACCTCGACTGGAGTTCATTGCAGCTGTCCCGTCGGATTTACACTCCAGTTTGATGGGAAGACATGTAAAGGTAGATTTTGCACTTTTGTAAACATACCTGTATAAACACCTAGCAGCAAGTGCACTAATCTCAAAGGGAAACTAGTTGAAGCATTCCTGAGAAAAAGCCTATGTGTATCTATCTGGGCATTGGAGAGCACTAGGGAAGCATTGAGGCAGGGAGAGATGCACAATCCCCTTTCACATGGTCCCTGTTGCACCAGCCCTAGATATGGAGCATATGAGTGCAAAGTATCTCTGCTTTGCCGTTGATGCCCTTCCGATCTCCAGTATGGCCTCTTTTTCTAATCAGGATGTAGCAATGCACTGGTGGTACAATGAAGGTAAATGTAGCCTGCTAGTCCACCTGCCAAGGCATGCATGCAGGCTATTACAGGTGTATATCCCCATGGAGGAGCAGACCATCAGCCTGATATTATAACAAGCATTTGAAGGGTCTAAACGTGAAGATGGGTGTGGAATTATTTATGCTGTGCCAAGCAGATATAACAAGGAATAACATGTTGAAAATGAGCAAAGGAGGATGTAGGTCGTACATATGAATAAAATTCCCAAGAGTGAGGTCTGTTAGACTTGTGCCAAGCAAAGTGATGGAGTCCCTTTTGCTTGGCTTATTTAGAATTAGACAAAGAACTCAACAATCTGACATTGGCGTGGGCAGGGTAAGGTGACCCTATAGGTCTCTTCTGTCTGTAATTTCTGAAATGCTTTGGCGAGGAGAAAGAGAGAGAGAATTTTTACAAAGTTAAGACCTTTAAAAAGAAAAGCTTAGTTTAAGGTTCTAAAGGCTTTCCAGAAGGACGAATGCCTTTATCTTCTCTAATCAGATGAGATAAGAAAGAGCCCCCTGTATGTGTGTGCTCAAGCAAAAGTGAATTTGATAGCAGTATTTTAGATGAAAGGAAATAATACAGAAATGAGGCTGAACTGCAAAGATAATTTCTGAATCTGAATTTTCCCAAAGTTCGAGGTGATTTAGTTATTGAATCTTGTTCAGGACTCTCCCAGCAGAGAACTTTCCAGTCAAGTCCAGCCGTTTCATCCACAGAACATGTATGTCTTTGGGATCTACCAATGAAAGGACACCAAACATGTTCCTTTTATTTGCTAATCACTTTTCTGTTACAGATATTGATGAATGCCAGGCCAGCAATGGAGGCTGTGATCATTTTTGTAAAAACACTGTCGGCAGTTTTGATTGCAGCTGCAAAAAAGGATTTAAATTATTGACAGATGAGAAGTCTTGTCAAGGTATGTGCATGGGGAGGCAAAAAAGGTAAAATAAATAAGATTGACTTGGATACCTACTGAAGTAATGAGGTGCTGGTAAACTCCAGAATGATTTCCATGCTTTGGATTTCTTCTTTCTAAAGTTGCTGTTAAAAATCAAAGCCTTTGGCATGATATCAGAGTGGGAGATTTGTTTGAAAGGGTGTTCACTGTACGCTGAACGGTTATCTGAAAATAATAGAGAATGGCAGAAAATGGAACTGACTATCAGGAAAGAAACTTCACTCCAGTGTGGCTATTTCTAATCTTTTTTTAGATTAGACTTAACAGGACAAATATTTATGCAGAGCAAACTTGCAAGAGAAATGTAGGATTTCCAAGATTTCTGATGGAAGTTGTTTATGAATGTATATTTTAAGGATTTATATCTCCTTTTGTCTGTTTTTTCTGTCACTTCTAGAATGTTGTAAACTTGATGTAGCTTGATTTGGGCCTGATCCGTTAAAGAGCAAATTTGGTGTAAGACTCCAATCCTGTTCCCATTTATGTCAATGGGAGTTTTGCCACAGACTTCTATGGGAACAGGATAAGCCTCATCATGTTTAATATTTTGTTATAGCAGCATAGAGTACTTTTGGTGATAATATCATAAACATTTAGGGCCTCTGATCCTGCTGCCCATGGAACCCATGGGAGCTTTGCCGTTGACTTCAGTGGGAGCAGAATTGGGCCATTACCTAAAAAAGCAAATTCAGTGTGAAAGTGTACAATATACAAAATGATTAAAATGCCCAGGAAAAATTCAGCTGGATGAGGCAAAGACATTCTAGCCAGCATTAAAGACAAAGGCTTAAGGCATACAAGGCTTAAGCCCAAGATGTGCAGTGTGATGAATCTGTGGCCTACTTATGACTGTATCTAGTGGTGTTGCACAAAGCAAAAAATAGACCCAGGTGATGGTCGCTCCAGAGCTGCACTGAGGCACATTGCTCGGGCTGGGTGGAGGAAGCTTCTGCAGAAGCCCATGCACTGTATAGCCAAGGAGAGCATTTGGGTTTCTAGGGGTACTAGCCTGATGCCTTTCACCTGCACGAATTCCCAAAGCTTCCTGTCCTTTTTTTGCCTTTGGGAGAGGTATTTCAGTCGCTAGGTGAGAGGCCTAGCACAGATCTAAAACAAGCACTGCACATGCACGGTTGAGGTAAAAATTTGGCCTCCCAGTTTTGTAAAAAGGCAGAAGGAAATGGAAAGTTACTTTGAAAATATTTTTCCTGCTGACTCTGCGTTGCCTTCCCTTGAAGAAGCATTTTTTTTTCTGCTGACGGTCTTTTGCAGTGAAGAGAACTTTGCAGCAATTTATTTTAAACATGACTATTAAAAATATAACCTCAGTTTACTCACTTGTCAAGAAATGTCTTACTTGGCAAACTAACTGCTCTCTTAAAAGTTGTTACTTCAATATGTTACAGACTAATGGCTTTAAAAGAATTTGCTTAGGTCATATAAAGCTGTGTTTTTCTAGATACAAATTTGCTAGCTCATAAATGCTTCCTTGACAAGCCAAGAGACACTAACGTATCCTTTTAAAAATTACAGACATTGATGAATGTTCTTTTGAAAGGACATGTGACCATACGTGCATCAATCATCCAGGCTCTTTTGAGTGTAGTTGTAACAAAGGATACATTCTCTATGGCTTCACACATTGTGGAGGTGAGTATAAAAAGATACTAGTGTATATGTTTGTCAGAGTGCTGGAGCAATGCTCATTAATGTCACTGGGACCCATGTGTCTAAAACCCTGTACAGCAAATGTAGCCTTTGTCTTTTCCAGGCAGTTTTTCAAAAGGGGAGACAGTCCAAAAATGAAACACAATCCTCCATGCTTGACTATGTCTTTTAGCTTAAATGATTTCCCCCTCTCCATCTATGTATTGGAAAGCAACAGGGACCATTAGAACAAACAGATGCATTCCACATGTAGATACTAAGGCCATGATCCAACAGTGTTTCCACATGAAAAATTCCCATTGATTTCATGTGGCGTTCTGTACACTAATTGCAAACTTGTAAGAAAAGGCTTCAAATGAATTATGATGTTAGTTATTTTGCAGGTTTTCTTTAGAATAAATGCACATTACCAACAAGCCTAATGGCCAGATCCTCATTTGATCTAAACTGACATAGCTCCACTATAGTCATGGAGTTACACTGGTTTATACCAGCTAAGAATTTGGCCCTAAATTGTTTACTTCTGATTCCAGAGAAACCCTAAATGAAAGAGACCAATATGTTGACATGAACCTTGGTCTGACATCTGAAGCAAGGAAACTTGCAGAACTTTCATATGAAGCAGCCTGAGTTATTTGACACTAAATGAAAACAAAACTATTTTCATGTGAAATATGGGCAAGATCTTATATGACTACATATATGTATTCAGTTCACTGATAGGCATATGTGAATATGAGGCAGAATGGGCAGGCTTGATCTTGGGGACCATGATGCAAATACTTTGCTATTTTCACAATTCTCCTTTGCATCATATTGGGTGTTTGTAACCATGGGGATGAATTTAGGCTGGGATTCTCAGGTGAGCCTAAGGGAATTAGATACCCAGCACCCATTTCAATGAGATTTGGGCATCTAACTCCCGAGGTCTCCTTTGAAAATCCCAACCTCATTGTTTATTAATGTGAGGGACTAATTGCAGTTGGCTTGAGTCTTGTCTAATGAAGGCAGATGTTGTGCAGACTTCCCCACACAGTATTGCCATTTTCCCCTCCTGACCTGCCAGATCTCTGCCATTCCAGTCCTGGACCTTGTTTAGGCAGAAACAGACAATCAGGTTTGTGGTAGTTTTGCAATGTGGACAAACAGGACCAAGTTCATTTCCCCTTTGTACTTAATGCAGTCTTATATGAACATCCTTCTATTAACATGGGGCCTGATTCTGTCACCCCTGTTCATACTGATTGGTAGTAAGGTACCATGCACCCCTGACTCAGGGTAGTGCAGTCACATCATTACCCTGTGGAGTGGGAACTGGGAACACAGGAGAATGGATGAACACTGCTGTTATGGAAACTCACAAAGATGCTGCTCCAGTGAGAGTGGAATCACTTCTAGGAAATAGCTTCACTTAGACATTCACATAAAAACTCCTGTTTATGGGTTTGATCCTGTGCCATTCAAGTCAATGGGAGAAGAATGAAGGCCTACGAGAAATGTGTTTCATATGGTGTGGCATGTGATTCTGCAGTGTGTGTTACAGAGATCAGGTAGGAAGACCTGCGTTTGTGTCGGGCAGAGAAAAAATATGTATAGCACTGGGAATAATGTCAGTGAGAGTAGCCAGCAGGAGGTGAGACTGCCCACCTGGCTTCCTAGGAGCTGCATGTTGCAAACATGCCAATTAAGACTTTTTCGTTTATCATCTTTGAGTGTGGTTGTTCCAACCTCTACAGAGCCCAGCCACAGAGATACAAAAATATGACGACATTGCTGTCACAGTTCAGAGCAATGTATTTCCCCTCTGTGGGTCCAGCTAAGGCACTTGCTCTCAGGCTTCCAACTCTGCAGCCATTGCCTCTCTTGGGTGGAGACCTGCATCTCTGTCCCTTCTGATGAGCCAAACAGTTCCCTGACTATACTGTGAGCTCCCCAGCAAAAGACAGGCTACCTAAGCAGGCCTGCTTCACTTCTCTCCTCAGAGATGGGACACGGTGTAATTAACACAGTTAAGTTACCACACAGCTCTTTCTAAGCAAGCCTATTTATTCTTAAGGTAACATCACAGATAAAATATATTAAAACAATAGAAGAATTTACATGGATGCCGATAAGCTCACCAGAGATCACCCCGCACTCCAATAAGAGCTCTGGCTGGTAATGAGTCCTTCCAATCCCAGATAGGGTTTTTTCCTTATGGGCACAGGTTCATCACAGCTTCAGCTGAAAACCATCATCCAAGTCTTATGGGGCCTAAGTGGGCTCAAGTCCTTCCAACCCTTCCCTAAGGATTGGAGCCCCTCATTGGACCGAGGTCCTATCCATTTGCTGGATCAGAAAGAAGGGCCTGGGTTAGTTTTAATTCAGGCTATTTATCCAAAAATCCTTTTGTCTGCTGCTCTCTGGAGAATCCAGTTTGAACCAGTACATATGAGTCTCTTGCCAAGTGGTGGTAGCTCTCTGACGTGTTTCAACCTTTGTGAATTTGCCTGACCATCTCCCACTGTTTTTACTTTCTGGAGGGCTGTGGTTCCTTCCCCCCATGGAAATGTATACCGTCCCTCAATAGTATGTAATCATTGGCACTTTTAATAGAATAAACTCCTAAATTCAGTGAGTTTTGACTTAATTCAATAAGGTTTGTTCAGTATATTGCAGGATACTGTGTTGTGTCATATGCAGTGAAACCTATCTATGGACCCTTATGGCCACATGCCCTAATGGCCAACAGAATATCAGTCCTCACAAAAGTTCCTCCATATTAACTGTACATCATTATGTGACCACCCACTATAACAGAGAAAAATAGCAGTCCCTTCTGTTACTAAAAGGTTTCCCTGTATATTATTGTTATGCTGGAAGGTGTTAATGGCTGCCATGAAGTGGGCCTTTGATCTACAGATAAGTCAGACCTTATTAAAGCTGGTGGATGTGCTAAGCACTTATCTTTCAGGCTAAGGAGCAGTTATTTATGTATTGATAACTAGAAACAATAGGTTTCAGAGCAGTACCCGTGTTAGTCTGTATCAGCAAAAACAACGAGGAGTCCTTGTGGCACCTTAGAGACTAACAAATTTATTTGGGCATAAGCTTTCATGGGCTAAAACCCACTTCATCAGATGCCTGACCCTGAGGGCTTGGCTACACTTACACTTAGAGTGCATTAAAGCAGCCCTGGGTGCCCTAACTCCTGAGGTGTCCACACTGGCAAAGCACATAGAGCACCTGGACTCTGCAGCTGGAGCGCTCCTGGTAATCCACCTCCACGAGAAGCATAAAACTTGCTGTGCCCCGGCTGAAAGGCCCTGGCGTCAGTGTGAACGAGGTGTTGCATTACTGCGCTGTGATTGGTCTCCAGAAACGTCCCATAATCCTCTGAAGTCAAATGGCTACTCTTCTCATTGTTTTGAAATTGGCTGTAGGCATGCGGATATCCCCTTTCAAAGCTCCGTTTCTGACAGCCGGCATGCTTATCTGCTCCGGGACAAAGCAAACCATTAGTGTGGAATGCTGCTGTTTTGAGTGTGTGTGAGGAGGGGGGACAAAAGGGGTCTGCAGCTGTCTGAACTTACAAGATAGCATGCTGACACGCTCTCAGCCCCCCAAAACACACTGTCTCTCTTCCCACATACACACAACACACTCCCTGTCACATTCCACCACCCCATTTAAAAAGCATGTTGCAGCCACTTGCAGACTGGGATAGCTACCACAATGCACTGCTCTTTGTGGAGTTGCAAGAGCTGCTAATGTGGCCACGCCAGTGTGCTTGCAGCTGACAGTGTAAACACACGGCAGCGTTTTCCCTGCTGCGGTCTCCGAAGGCTGGTTTAACTCCCAGCGCTTTACATCTGCAAGTGTAGCCAAGCCCTGAGAGAGAGCAGAGAGACAGAGCTCCTTGGGACCTGGGTCACAGGACTGTCTGGGAATCACAAGTCAGGAAACTGCCTGCTGTTGCACCCAGTGTGTTAGGAACCAGCGTGTAGGCGATCAGACCTTGTGGTCAGAGTGGAGCTGGAGTTGGGAGTTTAGCCAAGGATCAGAACCAGACTCAAAATCAGGAATTGAGTTGGAGTGGGTAGCCAGAAGATGAACTGGGGTTGGAACTGGGAACTGGTAGCCAATGGTCAGGAGTGAAACATGGGGGCAGGAGCCGAGACAAGGCAAGGATTAGGCATGGAGCAGGAGCAAGGCAGGAATGGAGGGCAGGGGCAGGAACAGGAGCAGAGCAGAAACTGGGAGTGGAAGTTGGATATGGATCACAGGAGACAGGCAACAGACGGGTCTGAGGCAGCAGCAACAGAGAGAGACTGTGCGCAGTGCTCGGACAGGCCATACAGGTCACTTCCTGGCTTCAGTAGTGGGTGTGAGCCAATCAGGCAACCACACACCTTGGGCATTCTGATAGGACTTCCTGTGGAGCCTGACCTTTCAGGATCGGTGAGATTTCTTCATCTAGCTCCTTTGGTGATGACAAGGGGGTACTAGAGATCCAGGGCCCCTACAGCTCTAGGTTCTAGACCCACTGAAACTGAGGTCCCAACACCCTCCTATCCTTACCCCCTATGTTCAGGAAAACAAGGCTTTGTGTATGTTCTTTATAATTAGACAGGATTGCGCACACACACACACACACACACACAACTACCTGACTTGTATAACTGATTTCTCACCCTAATGGAAGCAACCTGGCAAGGTCCTGAATATTGGCTAAGAACTCAGCCAAAAGGGGTAACAATATGCGACAGAGTATTGCCCCCGTGTACTCATTAACAGTGAGATAAAATGTATTGCAACATATTTATGCTTCTGAACGTTTAAGACAAATGGTCAGTGTGAATCTTGTATCCTATCGTCTGATTTTGTTCCAAACTTAATAAATTACTATAAACAATGCTCTGTTAACTTTTGAAGCACATTGCTGAGGCTGGAACATTGGTAACATAGTCAATTTGGGGCATATTTAATACACAACTAAACCATTTTGATCCGCTAAAGGGTGGTAGGGAATGCAGAAGCATATACGGTCAGATTTTCAAAAGTTGCCCATAGAATTAGATCCAAATTATACAGAGCAGCGTTTGTGTGCAGTTACCCAATTTTTATTTGTGTGAATTCAGCACTGAGTGAAAATGATACTAGACTAATATTTAAAAAAGGCCTTTTTCTCCCTCCTCTTTAGATATTAACGAATGTAGCATCAACAATGGAGGCTGCCAGCAGACCTGTGTGAACACACTGGGGGATTATGAATGTCAGTGTCATTCCAGCCACAAATTACACTGGAATAAAAAGGACTGTGTCGGTAAGGTGCATAGAAGACGTGTTAATACTTTGAGTGTGCTTGAAGGCTATGCAGCTCAAGGCAGTGCTGAAAATCTTGATCCATCCAACAAAGCAGCATGGATCATTATTTCCTTCATTAGATTTCTGCTTTACTTTTTAATCAGCCATGATGGGCATTGTTGAAACAAGAAGAACAGGAGTACTTGTGGCACCTTAGAGACTAACAAATTTATTAG